AACCCTAAACCCTAAACCCTAAACCCTAAACCCTAAACCCTAAACCCTAAACCCTAAACCCTAAACCCTAAACCCTAAACCCTAAACCCTAAACCCTAAACCCTAAACCCTAAACCCTAAACCCTAAACCCTAAACCCTAAACCCTAAACCCTAAACCCTAAACCCTAAACCCTAAACCCTAAACCCTAAACCCTAAACCCTAAACCCTAAACCCTAAACCCTAAACCCTAAACCCTAAACCCTAAACCCTAAACCCTAAACCCTAAACCCTAAACCCTAAACCCTAAACCCTAAACCCTAAACCCTAAACCCTAAACCCTAAACCCTAAACCCTAAACCCTAAACCCTAAACCCTAAACCCTAAACCCTAAACCCTAAACCCTAAACCCTAAACCCTAAACCCTAAGCCCTAACCCTAACCCTAACCCTAAACCCTAAACCTCGCTCGCCTCGCGCGCAGACTGTTGGACGTAGGGGCCGTCGGGGGCGGGACTCTGAAACGGGCCCTTCGGGCCCGCCCGCACACCCGCAAAGCTTTCAGAGTCCGCCCCCGACGGCCCCTACGTCCAACAAACTCCCCGGAAGACGGAAAAGGGGGGGAGGGGGGGGGGGGGTTCCGACCCCCCCCCCCCCTTCAAGGGGGGGGGGGGGGGGGGGGGTTCCGAACCCCCCCCCCCCCTTTCAAAGGGGGGGGGGAGGGGTTCGAACCCCCCCCCCCCCTTAAAGGGGGGGAGGGGGGGGGGGGGGGTTCTCGGACCCCCCCCCCCCCTGAAGGGGGGGAGGGGGGGGGGGGGGTTCCCTGGAGCACACCCCCCCTTTTGTGTCTTCAAGGTGATCCACTGGCGCTCTTTTGGTTAAGTTACCCTCGGGTCGGCATAAACTAACAAAGTAAGTATGCATGATGGCCGATGCTTTCTGAGACAGAGGTCGGAATTCAAACCACGTTCTCATAGTCACGATTCGTCGTTGCCCCAAATCGGAATTCTCTTGCCGTTGGCCCGGAATGGGAAGGACGAGGAGGGGTGAGGAAGAAAGCAGAGACAAGGGAGGAGAAGAAAGATGGGGTGTGGATGGAAGACGGTTCCCCTTCCCTATCCTCAGTCTGCTTTCTTCGTCCGCCGTCCTCGCCCTCATCCCGTCCCTTCCATCCCTTCCTTAAGACTCCCCCGCAGCTCTTTGGGCGCCTCTCTCAGAGGCCCTCGTCGAAGTCGCGCGCGTTGTTGAGATATTGGGATGCGTTTGCTTGCGCGCATGACCTGGGCGACCCGACACCTTACTTTGACACTTACTTTGCCACGTGGGCCCAACAGTGCTTTTAAGCTGGGAAGGCATCGGCGCGCACACCTACCCATCGCGGTGGCTGTCTGTCTCCCCCGCCCTCTGGCGAAGTGGCATTCGCCGCGCGCACGAACTATCCCTGGGGATGCTTATTTTATGTTGCCTTCGCCCCACTCCATGGGCCCCTCCCAGAACGAAAAAAACAACAATGAGGTGGGATGAGGGCTTCCCAAGACGGCCCACGGACCCCACCAGCCCTCTGGGCGTAGGTGGTTCCACGAGTTAGTTATTACACCCCACCCTATTCGCCTTCGGGCAGGGGTTACCCCTCCCCTACGCCCTCCCTCTGGATGTGGGCGGAGGGGATCTCGAGGTGTCAGGTGGTCCTTTCTGGCCCGAGATGATTCCAACGCGGCCTCGGAGAGCCCACCATTACCTCCAAGATGGCTCAATACACCCCAATATGGCTCCAAATGGCTCTAAGGTGCATCCACGAGGCCCCAAGACCGCTCCAAGACGGCCCGAAGTGGCCACAGAGCCTCCAAAAGGATACCTCCGAGATGCCACATCCTTCCAAAACGCAAGGGAACCAATAATGCCATCATTTTCGCCGTTTCACTTCCGATCGGCTGTGGGTGCCTCAAGACGGCTCTGAGCTCGCCAAAGAGAGCGCCAAGAGTTGCCCTAGCGCGCTTATAGGTTGGGCGAGGAGGCTGGTGTTGGAGGGGTGATTGGAGGGGAGGTTGGAGGGGGTGTGGAGGGGGTTTGGAAGGAGGGCTGCGCAGAGTGTTGGAGAGAGGGTTGGAGGAAGGAGTTGGAGTGTTGGAGGTGAGTTGGAGAGGGGGTTGGAGGGAGAGCCGGAGGGAGGTTGGAAGGAGGGTTGGTGGGAGGGTTGGATGGGGGGGTCGAGGGAGGATTGAAGGGGGGGTTGGAGGGAGGGCTGGAAGGAGGGTTGAAGGGGGGGAGTTACTTTGGAGTTACCTTTGAATTACTTTGGAGTTACTTTGAGTCACTTTTGAATTACTTTGGGGGAGCTTGAGTTACGTTTGAGTTACTTTGGAGTTACTTTTAAAATACTTTTGAGTTGATTTGGGTAAGTTCGAGTTACGTTTGAATTACTTTCGAGTTACTTTGGAGTTACGTTTCAGTTACGTTGGAGTTACTGTAGATTTACGTTGAAGTGACTTTGGAGTTACGTTTGATTGACTTTGGAGTTACGTTTGAGTTACTTTCGAATTACTTTGGAGTTACTGTTTAGTCATTTGCGAGCTTCTTCTGAGTTACTTTGGAGTTACTTTTGAGCCACTTCTCCTATGTCTGATCGTCGGATCTTATCAGTAAAAGACAGCTGAGTTACTTTGGGAATTACTTTGGGACTTACTTTTCGGAGAGGCTGGGGCGGCTGAAAAGGCTGGCGACTTACTTCTCAACATCCGCGCGTCTGGAGTCAATTCGGGGGTTACTTCGGGAGTTACTTTTCGGGGCGACCTACTTCGGGAGTTACTTGCCGACCTACTGTGGGAGTTACTTCTATTCGCCTTGAGCGAAAAAGTAATTCAAAAGTAACTCTAAAGTAACTCCTAAAGTAACTCGGGCCTGGAATGCGGAATCGAAAGTAGGTCGGCTGAGTTACTTTCCAAACCGTCGGGGGCGGAAAGTAGGTCGCCCCACCTATCTCCAGGCGCCCAGAGCGGGGAGGGGAAGGGGGAGGAGGGGGGGGAGGGGGAGGAAGGCGAGGAGATGAGAAGAGGGGAGGAGGGGGGGGCAGGGGGGGGAAGCAGGGGGAGGAGGAGGGAGAGGAGGAGGCGGAGGAGAAGGTCGCCTTTTTCCCTCCTCGTCCTGCATCTCTTTCCAGATACTGCCTCCCTCTCTCCGCCTCCCTCCCTCCGCCTCCGCCTCTCTCCCCCCGTCTCCGCCTCCGCCTCTACTTATGTATCCGCATCCGGAGAATAGGAATAGGCGGATGGGAGGGCGTTCATCTTCTCTCCCTCCGTCTCCCTCCCTCCGCTTCCACCTCCGGAGAGGAGGGGCAGGAGGAGAAGGACGAGCTCGTCCTCCCTCTCTCCGCCTCCACCTATCCAGCATCTTCGCCACCCAACCAGCTGAAAGTCTTTCCCTTCCTCATTTTGCCTCCAACCCTCCTTCTAACCCTCCTTCCAACCCCCTCTCCAACCCTCCCTCCAACCATCCCTAAAATCCTTCGTCCAACCCTCCCTCCAACCCTCGCTCCCGCTCTCCCTCCAACCCCTTCTCCAAGGCTCCTTCCAACCCTCCCTCCAAACTTCCCTCCAACCTTCTCCCAACCCTCGCTCCTATCCTCCCTCCAACTCCGTCTCCAACCCTCCTCCAACCCTCCCTCCAATTTCCCCTCCAGTACCATCCTCCTCGCCCAACCTACGGGCGCGCCAGGGTCCCTCCTGGTGCTCTCTTTGCCGATCTCAAAGTTTTTTCAAGGCACCCAAAGTCGATCGGAAGCGAATCTCGGAGAATGCACGCATCATTGGTTTCCCGTATGATTTGGAAGGATTGGGCATCTCGGAGTTATCCCTTGGTGGCTCTGTGGCAACTTGGGGCAGCCTTGGAGCGGGCCTCCTGGATACACCTTGGAGCCATCTGGAGTCAGATTGGGGCTTCTGGATCTTGGAGGTAACATTGGGCTCTCCGAGGCCATGTTGGAGCAATCTTGGGCCAGAACAGACAGTCGGACACCTCGAGAAACCCATCGTCCAGATCTTTGGGGAGCGTGTATGCGGGATGGGTACCCCCCCCAAGGGGAAGACGGGGGTTGTCATAACTGACTCGTTGAACAACCTACGCCCAGAGGGCTTGTGGGGTCCATGTGCCGTCTGGGGAAGCCCTCATCCCACCCCAGTGTTATTGTTTATCGGGTGAGGGGTCTATGGCGTGGGGCGAGGGCAACATGAGAAACTCATTATCAGGGGTAGTTTATACGCGCAGCGGGTATTACGTGGCCAAGGGGCGGGAGAAACAGACAGCCACTGCGATAGGTATGTGTGCGCGTAGCTGCCGTCGCCACTTACAAGGAACTTGGGTACACCTGGCAAAGTAAGTGTCTAAGTAAATCGTTGGGCAGGAAAGCCCACGTCGACAAGTAGGTCACCCACGGAAGAACGAACCGCTCAGCCTATCAAACAATGAGGCGCCCGAGTGACTGCGGGGGCGGGAGAGGGCGGGGATGGGCAGGACTGAAGAAGGGCGAGAAGGTTGACGAAGAAAGCATATTCAGGGGATGGGTAGAGAGAGCGTGCTCCACCCACGCCCATCTTTCTTTCTCTCTCCTGATTATATGATTGGGGCAGCGGCACATGATAAGATGCCGATGCGGGGCAACAACAAGAAATTGCAATCGCGTGCTAACTACCAGCCGTAGCCGCACGAATCGGTTCTGAGGGCTGACCTTTTTTCCACAAAGCACGGGCCATCTTACATACTTCCTGTGTTACTTCATGCCGCCCCGAGGGTTACTTGACCAGCTACCTGGGCACTTACTTTTCCAAATGAGCCGAAAGTTAGTTTTGACTTACTTTAGGGTTGCTTTTATCATTCCTCTTAGACGCCGGTGTTCGCAGGTCAGGCCGACCTCAACACGACAACATCCCCGGCCACCCGCGGCGCACGACTTCCAGCGCCCGCCCCCGGGGCGGCCCGCCGGCACGACGGCCCGCCGCAGCGCGCGCCCCGACCCTGCCGCAGGCTGCGCCTTTTCCACGCCGCCGCGGGCACGCGGTGGCACCCCCGGGCGTGCCCCCGAGCAGGCGCGCGGAGCACGCGCTGAGCGGTCGCCACAGCGCGGCAAAGAGAGAAGAGGCGAGGAGCGCCCGCTGCACCCGCCCCCCGGGGAGGCAGGCGCCGTCGCCGAGGGCGGCGCGCTCTGCTCTTCCGGCGGAGGCCGGGCACGGGTCCCGCACTCCGGGCGGGCTGCGCTCGCCGAGGCCGTTGCCGCGGCGAAGGAAGGCCGTCAGGAGTTCTGCTGTACCCTCGGGGACACGGCAGCCACGAGCGGAAGGGGATAGAGGGGGGAGAGGCAAGGAGTGGGGGCGTATACGATGGAGCGGGAGGGAGAGGAAGAGGGAGAAGGGGAAGAAACACGCCGCAGGAGTTGCCAGAGGGCAGCGGCAGGCTGGGAACAGCCAGCGGCAACAGGAGGTCCGCTCACTGCCGCAGGCCGGTGAGCGCGAAGACGAGCTCGCGCATCTCGGGAAACACTTCCCCCTCCGTTCTACATTCCAACCGCCCTGCGTTCCCTCCCCCTTCCCCTCGGCTCTCTCTCTCTCTCTCTCTCTCTCTCTCTTTTTTCTCTCTCTCTCTCTCTCTCTTTCTCTCTCTCTCTCTCTCTCTCTCTCTCCGTCCGCAGGACTCCGCACAGCCATTGCCACGGATGCTCTCCCGATGTGCCTCGAACTTCTCGATTGGCGCCAACTGCACCCGGACTCGACGCGTGAGGCGAGGCACTTCTGCACTGGCCTCCCGTGCACAAGCATGGCGTACAACTGAAGTCCCCCCACGCGCCCCAAGAACCATACGGCAGGCTCGTGTCGCGACTCGCGGCAACTTGCGCGTGGGTTTCCGACTCCGCGGGGCCCGTCCAACCTTGAACGACCGCGATTTTCCAAGAGCTGGACGTCCCGAGATCTTTTCAAGGCGGGGACACAGATGAACGAACGGCTGCGCGTCCTTGCGCTCAGCTGTGAGGCACCGTCAACCACAGAGAGAAAAATGAGACAGAGCATGTGTGTGCACGCATGCTCGAGAGGACTCGGGGGGGCGGGGGACCAGAGAAGCTATGCGATGCAAGAAGGAGCGGAGCCAAAGGGGCGACATAATGAAAACCCCTCTTGGCTTCCTTCACGTGCAAGCACAAACCAGGACGTCCCGAGATCTTTTCAAGGCGGGGACACAGATGAACGAACGGCTGCGCGTCCTTGCGCTCAGCTGCGAGGCACCGTCAACCCAAGCCGTTCCCAAGAATGTTTACTGGGTGGGTGGGCAAGGGTGATTATATAACGACGCGCGCCATTCACTCAAAAGGATTTGAGCGAGTTTCCTATTGAGGGCTGGCGGATAGGCGGCAGCGATAGCGGTCCATTTCGCACCATTCGGGGCGTTGCCCTCCAGCACGATGTGTGGACGGCCAGACTTGTTACAAATACCATTGATCTGACCACACCGACGATCGAGGCAGCAACTATCCTGAACATCTATGTTCAGACACAAAAATCTTGTTCGTTTGCGCCAGCGAGCCCCCTCCTGACACTGATCGAGACATCTTACAACAGCCCCCCGTTCTATAACCCCCAGAACCTCTCTCGTGGCAAAAACGCGCGAATTCACAGGATGCTCAAGTATGCAGGGGACTTTGAAATTCTCGCAACATCTGATGACGCTCAACGCGGCCCGCATGGTCTTATTGCCCGATGCCAGGCGAGCCAGCTGTTTTGTACTCAGAAGATGCCGCGGAAGTCCCCAGGGCTGCGATGCCGAGCGGATGGCTCCCACTCGGTCGGCAGCGGTGGTCCAGGGCCCACAAGGCGGCGCCAGCATCACGGCCAAGACGCGGCCTGCGGCGATGTCGGAGCACAAGCCCCGCAGGACCTTCCGTCGGGTGAGGTCGCCGCCCGGCCCGTGCAGCGTGTCCCAGAACCTGGCTGGCACGCCCATGGCCATTGCGGACCGACCCACGCCTCCTTTGCCACTGAAGCAGTCGGCCACATATTGGCCAGTCAGACGCAGCCGAGCTCCCGCAAGTCGAGCGGCGAGGCGCGATCCGAAATGATGTCCGCGAGCTGAACCCCGCAGACCAGGAACACGTTTTGCACCGTGCGGCTCCGAGTTGACCACGTGGCTGCCAGGCGCGCGTGCTTCTCGTAGCGGACGACGCTGCGCTTGGCTCTCCACTGCCAGCGTGTCTGCACCTCGGCCAGCCGCCCCCACCTCCTCGCCATGCATACCAAGGCCCTTGAAAGGCAAACCTGATACGGCACCAACTCGGCTCTTGCTGGCAGGTCTTGGAGACGTAGGCTGAACCTCCTGCGGTACTCTGGGCACGTGAAGTTCCGCGGGTACTCGGGGTGCTTCTCCTTCTTCATCTGACACAGCACAGGGCCCAAGAAGCGCGTCCAGGGCGAGTCTGACTCTATCGACACCTTCACCAGGCCCGCTCTCTCCCACGGGCCCTCCTCCTCCGGGGAGAGCCTCAGGGTCCAGAAACTCCAGCCCGGGGGGAGGCGCCAGGCACCGTAGCTCGACCCGTCGGGGTCGAAGTGCAGGACGCCGACCATCAGCCTCTCGGCCCAGGAGGGGTGAGTCCCAGTCTGGTGCAGTCCGGTCAGCTGGCTCACCAACGCCGAGGTCACCATGGCATCGTCCCTGCTCTCCATGACCTCGCCAATGGTCGCAACCCTCTGGTACTCGCGCAGCGACGGAATCCACGCGGCCTCCCTCTCCAGGTAAGGGGACCCGTGGTGGCGGGCAAGGCGCTCGTGCGACTGCGCGAGCCTGGGCTGCCGCGCGGCGTCGGTCTCGACCTCGGGCTCGGAGCTCCCGCTGTCGGAGGAGCCGTCGCTCTCTCGCACTCCCTGAGCGGGCTCCGCTGGCACAGGCATCTCCTTCAGGTCCTCCGCCATCTGCCCCAAGCTCCGCGGCAAGGGACGGCCCTGCACCGCTGTCTTCAGGAGCTCCGACTCGCACAGCTGGTGCTCCCGCCGAGCTGCCGGCGACGGCAGCGGCGCCACTGGCGGCAAAGGGGCAAGCTGCCACGGGCATCCCGCCTCCTGGCCCTGGGCAGACGGCCCCAGGCCAGGCCTCAGGCGAGACGGCGCCGGCCGCCGCGTGCGCCGGCGTCCCGCCCCTGGCCTCGCGCCCTGTCTGGTCTGCAGGGGGCCGAGGCAGCGGCCGCGCCCGTCCGGCGCCCGCGGGCACACAGGCAGCATCGCGGGCTGCGGCGCCACCGGCTACCTTCTCAGGTGCGGACCAGGCGGGAACCCGCCCTGAGCCCGCCTGGGAGCCCTCGAGCTCCAACAGCTCAGCCAGAAGGGCGGACTTTGCGCCGTCAGGATCGAATAGCCGTGAGGGGAGGTCGGCACAGTTGAGCTCACTGGGTATCCAACGAACCGAACAACGAATATTTCGGCTCAGACAGACAGCGTGAAATCGACGAATCTGGACCAACAAGTTGAAACAGGAGCTCCTCCCTCGATTGAAGCTTAGCACGACCGACACATTGTCACAGAGCAGCAACTGACGTATGTGGGACCCAAACACCGTGGTGGCGATACGATGTATGCTGCTGACCAGGGCTCGGGCCTCTAAGGTCAGGATGCCCTCAGGGTGCTGCCAGGCTCTTGCGAAGCAGAGCTCCCGCAGACCTGCGCGGAGCCCCCGGGCGGGCACCTCCGGGAAGTCCCTCGCAACGTCCCGCTGGCCCAGCTCCTCCTCATCTTCAGGAAGGCCCTTGAGTTCCCATTTGCCACTCTCGCTCATGCTGAAACCAGCTGCACAGAGCGCAGCCTCGCGGGCACTGTGCGCGCAGCGCCGGCGGAAGCGGGCTCGCTCAGGCACGCGCCCGACTGACTCCACCAGCTCCCGCGGCCAAAAGGCCCTTGCCAGTCCGTAGCCGTGAAGACTGGCATCTGACTGCTGCGCCAAGGGATTCCAAGGTAGCCACCAATCTGATTCCAGGAAGTACATCAAAGAGCTGAAGGCCGTCAGCTCCTGCCGCGCCTCAGTCCATAGCACGGCCGCCTCGTCGTAGTGGGCTCGCACGAAGCCGTAGACTGAATTGAAGGCTGACAAGGTGCCGCGCGAGCAGAGGCCACAAAAGGTTAGGTGGCCCAGCACTGCTTCCACGGCCCACCCCTTGACACGGCGGCGGGCTAGGAGGCCTCGCACGGCCTGGCGGCAGCGCCAGAACCGATCACTGGTCACACGAGTGCGCAATTGGCCCCCGTCGATCTCCGTGCCCAGCGCTACTGCCTTGTCCGGCACCAGCTCGTCTTTGTGCAGCAGTAGGCTCAGCTTGGTGAACTCGCCTGTCAGCTGGTTCATCACGCCGCTCACGAGTTCAGAGAAGAGCGAGAAGACCCCCAAGTTATCAACATACACGTAGTGCCTGACTTCCTGGGACGCTCTGCCTGGCGCGAACACGAGCGGTGGCCCATGGTCTGAGAGACCGGGCCCCCGAAGGAGCGCGCTGCTGCGGCGGCTCACCTCCTCGTTGGCCCGCTGGGCGAAGAAGAGGGACCAGCTGAAGCCCATGGGCAGCACCTGCCAGCAAGGGTAGATGGCCGTCGACGTCTGCACCTTGGCCCCCTCGACCTCGGTCACGCCGAAAGCCCCAGCCTTGACCGGCGGCAGGCAGAAGTACTGCGAGAGGGCCGAATCAATGCGCATCCTATGAAAGCAGTCCTTCACGTCCGCCATGCCGATGTACACCTGCTGCGCCTCCAGCGCGGCGCGGAGGTCCTCGTAGTTCGAGAAGCCCGCGTCTGGCACGTGCACCTCGATTCTGGCAAGGCCCTCGCTGCTCAAAAGCTCCACCCCAGGAGGGTCCTTGAAGTGGGCGTTCGTACGGCGGGCGTCGACTATGAGGCGAAGTCGTTAGAGTCCATCCCAGAATGCCAGCCGACAGCAGCCGGCGCACCAGGCCGCGGTACTCCTTGTGGTTGAACTTGAGGACCGAGTCGAAGTATGGCTCGACGTCAGTCGGCAAGGGTGACTCTCGCAACATGCGCTCATGGCGCTCCTGCAGGAAAGCAAGGGCCTCGCCAGGCAAGAGGTCCTCTAGACGCGGGCAGTCGCTCACGTCCATCGGCATGCTGACGAGCCCTGCACTGTAGGAGGCGACCGTCGTCGGGCCACTGCGCCCGTCGTATGGCGAGCGGCCCCGCAGCAGCTCCCAGAGGGCCGCCTGCGGATCCTGCAACTTGGCGTCCGGCTGCCGGCCCCGAACGAGGCCCTCGAAGCGCGCAAGTGCATCCCGCTGCATGTCATTGGCTGGGCCAGGAAGCGAGTCGTACCCCGACATCCAGTTAACGGCATCGACGATACCGTTGACCTCCGCCGCAATCCGATTCTCTCGGCCGAACTGCCTCGCCCTGCAAGACCTGCCGCGAATTCGGCGGCCAGCGTCGCCCAGCAGCGGGAGCGGCAGGAAGCTGCGGGCTCCACGCGAGGGCGGCAGGCGGCCGCCGTCGTGCCCCGGCAAAAAGGGCCCGGGGGAGGGGCTGGCCCCCCCGGGCCCGGGGGCCGCCATGGCCCCGCGGAGGCGACGCCCCTGGCCCGGCCGCGCCCGCGGCCGCCTCGGCCGCCACCACGCCCCGCACCTGCAGCGTCGCCTCCAGCTCCTTCTGCTCCGCCGACGGTCCTAGTAGGCACCCCGCGTGGCGTACCTGCCCGATTCTGCGCCTGCTCCACCTCGTACGTCTTCTGCGCCCCCTGGTGGATGTAGCCCCTGAGCTCTGACCCCGAGACGTCCTTCTCCGAGCTCACGTCCGCGAAGATGTCCGCGTTCGTCCAGCTCGGCTTGAGCAGGTCTCCGTAGGCCTCCAGCGTGGCGGACCCGCGGTGAGTCATCTTCCCCACCATCATCAGGCCGCTCATGTTCAGCTGGACACGTGATAAGCCCTGGTACCAGGCCTCCACGATCGTCCTCAGCTTCTGCACCACCCAGTCATTCTCCCCACGGCCCCTCACGCATACGGTGAGGTCGGGCTCGAGCCGCAGGTCGCCTCCGTGCCTCACCATGTGCCCGCGCATGTGGGGAGCCCCCGGCGGTCTGCCCACCCGTGCGTCTGGGCGGCGCCCCTGCCTCGACTCGCCTACCACGTCTCGCCATCGTCTGTCCCGTCCGCCCTGCTCGTCGTAGAAGACCCAGAGCGTGCGGGCGAGGGCGTCACGTTGCTCGCCCTGCGGCCCCGCCAGCAGCGGCTGCGCCAGCTCTGGCATAGCTGTGCCGCGTGGGGGCCCGGCGGGCTCCTCATCCTCGAGCGGCGCCGCGGCCGCAGTGCGTCGGCGCTCGGGGCCCTTGGCACGCGCCTGGCTCCTGCTTGGGCCATGCCTGAAAGCCTCCTCCTCTGCCAGGCGCCCAGCGTCCGACCCCGCGTCCAGCCGGCCGAGTCGCCCCGTGCCACCGTCGGCGGACCTCAGCACACCGAACGCCTCAGGCCCGTCCTCGAAGCTCAGGCCTCCAGTCTTCGCCACGTCGACCTCCGCCCCGATCACATCGTCGGGCACGCCACTGCGGCCGACCCAGGCGTCACACCCGGCAGGAGCCTCCAGCGGCGTCCCCGCCCGGCGAGCCACGGCCATGCTCAGGTACAGCAGGCCCCTCCGCTCCGCGGCCAGCCGCCTACCAGCGTCCTCCTGCCACGAGACCCGCTGGCCGCTCACGGCCCCGGCCTCCCTCGGCTCAGGCGACGCCGCCTCTTCCTCCAGCGCCGCCTGACGGCCCCGCGTCAGCGTCTTGGCCCGACTCTCAGGCCCCAGCGCCTCCTCGAAGCGATACAGCCTCCGCATCCTGCCCATCCGCTGCGCCAGCGGGATGGGTCGGGCAGGCCAGGTCTCGGCCCTGCCGCAGCTCATGTCCTCCACGTAGATGTCAACCTCTGGGGACAGGATGACCCGTCCGCCCTCTGCCACGTAGTGCAGCTGCACCCATACGTCATCGACGTCGTCGCCGGCGAATCGGCAGACCCCAGGCTCCACTGAGGGCGCTCTAGTCCACCACCTCCGCCCCACGACGCTGAGGAGCCACCACACGAGCGTCGTCATGCCTGCGACCGGGAACTCCCACCAGCCAGTGCACCAGGCCTCCGGGCAGCACCCCAGTGAGCCTCCCAGCCGCCCTCTCGCCCGGCGTCGCCGCCGGCCGCCTCGCAGGCCGGGCGGGTCGCACCCGGCGGCGGCTCGCAGGCCGGGCAAGCCGCGCGGGGAGGCGGCTCGCAAGCCGGGCAGGCCGCGGCCTCTGGGCCAGCCGCCGCCTCTGGACACGCAGGACAGGCCGGGCACGAGGGTCAGGGCAGGCCGCCCGCGTCGGGCCCTCCTCTGCTCCAACGTAGGCCGCGGCCTCCAGCGCCACTACCACCCAGGCCAGCGGCGCGGCCGCCCCTCAGGGATGGCGCCCATCCATCGACTCCGGACCAGAGAAGCTATGCGATGCAAGAAGGAGCGGAGCCAAAGGGGCGACATAATGAAAACCCCTCTTGACTTCCTTCACGTGCAAGCACAAACCATGTTTTTTTAGACTCTGGCAAGTTTACTTGCATGGACGGGGGGGGGGCTGAGCCTGAAGCAAGCCCGGGGGGTGGGGGGCGCGGAAACCATGCAAGTCGAAAGGCACTTGCACGCTAGTATTCGCTTGAAGAGGGGCGAGGGGGGGGGGGGAGGGGCGAACGCCATGCAAGTAAACTTGCCTGAATCAAAAAAAACAAGCTCCAAAAGCGGAGATCCGCCAGAGTGCCAGTGGGCACGGAGTGGGCCCGACAGGGCCCGAGGCGCGCCCCAACGCGGCTCAAAAGAGGGCTCTCCAGGGCGGCCCCCGAGGCGCCCAAGACCGCCGCAAGAGGGCCCAGAGGCAGCCGCAAGGAGGGCCCAACAGGGGGAACACGAACCGAAAGTCCGAGTCTTTCGCCCCCCACGAGCCCCCTGGACGCTCCAGGGATGCTCGCGCTGGTCGGGTCGGGCGAAAGGGGGGGATAGCGGGGTGAGAATCAGCTCACGTAGCTGATTTTCCCGGCGCCTCCTGGCGCCAGAGGCGCCCATGTATCGAGGAATGGGCCCGGCGGCGGGGCCGAAACCAGCTACATGCAGCAGATTTCGTAACCCCCCCTTTCCCCAACCCCCCCCCTTTCGCCCGACCCGAGCTGGGCACCCCTCTCCCCCAGCGCGCCAGGGGCGGCGCCAGAGGCCGGAGGCGCCGCCTCGGGGAACTCCGCGCGGAGCTTCGAGCGTCTGTGCTCGCGCAGCTCTGGCTGCTCCGACCCCCCGCCGCTGCCAGCGTGCTGGGCCTCGCGAGGCGCCGTTCTGGGGCGACGGAGCTGCAAGGCTCCTCCCAAAACTGGTATGCCGAAGAGGGAGGAGGGAGCGAAAGGAGGGAGGGGGAGGGAGAACGCACGCCTGCTTGCACATGGACGGGAACGCACTCCCCGCCTCCTGCGGGACTCGGAGCGGGGACCGTGCTCGCCCGGGCGCCCCGCGCTCTTCGGCAGGTCGCTGTCGCCGAATGGCGGGCAAGGCGAAGGCCTCAACTCTGGAGGCCTCCCCTGTGGGGTCCGAGAAAATGGGGTCGGGGGATCGCGCAGCATCATCGATGCACCAGCGATGCATCGGCGACTTCGGCGATGCATCGGCGACGTCGGCGTGGAGAAAATCGGGCGGGACGATGCGGTGCGATCCTCAGACAACATCAGCGTTGGCCACATTTAGGAGGCTCCAGAATCCGGAAAACAAGCATCATACATTGTTCTGAGATGTACGTAACTGAGGACAAATATCATAATGCGGAAGTTAACCACCAGAGTTCGAAACTTGGTACCAGCATTCGGGATTGAGACGCAGTGCCTCGAAGCTTGAACACAACGAACATCTGATGCTTGGAAGAAATCGGCGGCGAGCCTGGGGGTGGAGTGAGAAAAGCGGGCCTTCTCAGAAGGCTCGGAAGTCCCCCGGCCTCCTGAGAAGTGTGTAAAAAGCCTTCCCGAAAGACACAGAAAACCTCTCAGAAGGCGCGAGGGTTTCTGAGAAGTCCCGCCGCCTTCTGAGAAGGCCTTCTGCTTCTCGCTTCCCCCCCTCGCTCGGCAGCGCGAAGAGGAGCCAGGGCCCCAGCGCCTTCTGATAAGGCCTTCTGCCTCTCACTTCCCCCCCCTCGCTCGCCAACGCGAAGAGGAGCCAGGGCCCCAGCTCGCGGCGGAGACCCCGGGGGAGCGCGGGCATGCGCGAGGGCCCGACGGGGGAGCGATGGGCCCGAGTTGGAGCTGGCTGTCGGCGGCGACGATAAGGGCGAATAGCCCAGGGGCGGGCATTACAAGCATTCGCCCGGGAGCCTTTCTGAAGTCATAGATCATCAGCGCACCTGAACACATGTATTGCTCTCCCCTGGGCTATTCGCCACTGGCCTATCGTCGCCTCTGAGGCTGGGGGTCTGAGATGGCGCGGCACTGATTCCGGCGAGCAAGAAGGACGGGGACAGGAGAAGGAGGAGGAGGAGGAGGAGGAGGAGGAGGGGGAGGACAAGAAAATGGACTGCCTCTTTCGGCCGCGGTGCCCCTTTTCGGGCCCCGGGACCGTCAAAAACGGGTCCGGGGTGAAGTCCTGGACCAGATGGGCCCTGGAAGGGGTTCGGGATCCGATTTCGGAAACAGTTTCGTTCATCCTCCCTTCTCGACCGAACGAGTTGCTCGGGGCCCATCATGCTCAGACCCGCTGGCCGCCTCCGAGGCCTGAGGGTGCCACAGCCGAGGCGGGCACAGGGGCACGGGCGCCCGGGAGCCGCCCGACGGACGATTAGCCCCCGGAGGAGAGCCGTCACGTCAGAACGCGTGCTAGCGCCAACGTGTGCTCGTCCACCGAAGTCCTTCGGCACGAGGCAGGCGCTGAAGCGAGGGCCGGCGTTGGCTGCGTGCTGCCGCTGGAGCCGAGCGGGGAGAGCGCAGGAGCGAACCCACGCCCCGAGGACTATCGACCCTGGAGAAGAGTCCTCAGGCGATTTCGACGTGGAGAAGGCTGGGCGAGGACCTCGTGTGCCGGGGAGGGGTTGGGAGGCGGAGAGGGGCCCGAGGCGTCGCAGAGGTGTGGGGCGGCAGCTGGCGGACCGCCTCGGGGTCCTTGCCCGCGCCGAGCTCGGCGCAAATCGTGGGCCAGAAGTCCTTGCTGGACCTGATGGGATCGGGCGGGTGGCAAGAGGGGGGCGGCGGGCGGGTGGGGGGAATCGGAGCCACTAGCCGGAAGGGGTGTTCGTCCACAACCTGGAGGGTGCATGGATGGATGGGCAACCCCTTGAGATGGTCGGGAGACGAAAGCACCAGCAGCAATGGGAGATCGACCAGAGTTAAATCACCCCTGAAGCCGTTGCCTCTTCTTTGGCTTTGACGCGGGGGGCAGTCGGGGCATCAAAAAAGCCTTCGGTACTGAGGTCACACTTTTACCAGGCTTAACAAAAGGTTCGTTCACATCGACCAGCCGAGCAACAGGCAACGCTCTTAGTATTCATATTGGGGCCCAACCCCTGTTTCATGCGACTACGGGCATCATTTTTGTTACGCGCTGGCTTGCCACAGACCGAAGCAAACTTCACGGCTCCCCCTTGCTGGGGGGCGGAAAGATACGGATACGTGTTGTCCCCGGACCTCTCTTGGGGTGCGTTCTGATCAGAATTTCGAGGCGAATCCAGCGGTGACAACGAGGATTCCCCAGGAGGGCCAGGAAAGGCCGAAAACGCAGGGGGGACAACACGTATCCGTATCTTTTTCTCCCCCGACCTTGGGACCACCCCCCGCATCTGAAACATAGAATTTGATGCTCAACGAGCGGCCCCGGGACGGTGCCCGACCGCGGGGCAGCGAGAGCCGACCCCTGGCGCGGCGACGAGCTGGCGGCCCAGAGAATCACGGAGCAGCTTCTGAAGAGCCAGAGACGGGCCTCAAATAGGGGGGAAACAAACCTACCTCGCTTTTGACCACCCTCGCTTCCAAGAGATACCAAACGATGTCACACTACGGCCTGTACTGGTCAGGTCGCTTGACGAGGAGGCGCGTGGTATGGCTTGGTTTTGCCTGGAAGCGAAAGCGGGGTAGGCAATTTACGCTGCGATCAAACATGGGTCTGTCGGGTCGGTCACACCCCACCCAACAGATTCGAGCCGAGCTCTGATCCCATCCAGAGCCAGAGGTGCCAAGTGCTATCTCGTCTACTCCTGAAAACAGAGAACTAGAGGGTCCTTGTCCACCTCGCCTCTAGCTTAACGAGGGAAGGGGTTGCCGAAGCTAGTTGCACGAACGCGTTCGTTCGAAATCTCGATAGAATCCAGGGCGCTGCAGAAGCCTGGGGCCAGGCCACGGGTGGCCCTCTATAGAGCGAACTTATCTCTCTCATCCACGGCCCGATTCGCAGAGAACCGAGACGTCGATCATCGCTGACCAGCCCCATCGAAGGCCTCGGCGCCACGATGGGCCTTCACAGGGAATGGATTCAAATAGCCAGAGCCTGCAAGCTCGTTGGCGCAACGCCTTACACCAGCAAACATGCTCGTGCTGGCCAACTGTCTCCACAACGGGCGCTGGGTCTGGCAGAGCACCGCGTTGCAATCTAGGGCCAGGGAGGCGGGGGGGTCTGCTATCTGTCTGCGCACAAAAACTGCTGCATGTTCAGCCTCGGTGGCGACTGTGCCAACCCTCCTGGAAGTACCCCCCTGTGCACAACTAAAAGAGATCCACTGCCTTGCTGCGTGTGCGCGATTGCCCACGCAGCGCGGCGGAGACAGCGGAGGCCCTGCTTCGCGCAGCTCCCGTCGGCGGTCATCGCGAGCTTCTCCGCTCGTCCTGCCATTGGCCGAAGTTCCTCAGGCCGCAGATTCAGACGCGCTCCTGCGCCCTCCAAGATGTCGCAGCGAGAGCTGGCGGAGGGAGAAAGCGCGCCCGAATCGAGAAAAGAAAAAAAACAAACATAGATTCCACGCGCAAGCGTCGGGTCGCCACTGCTTGGCCCTTCTTCGAGCATAGCAGCTGGGTTGCCCAAGGCATTGGGGGCCCCCGAAACCTCCGGGGGCACGCGTGCGCGACAGCGTTTGTGCGGCGCGCCGCGCTTGCCGCGCGAGCAAAGGCCATCAGCGAGGCACCCTGCATCGCGCGCGCGCCCCCGCCCATCCCGCGCCCGCAGCGCGCGATGGCAACAGAAACTGTTGCTGCGTAGTTTGACGCTTGGCAAGCGCGCCAGCGACCCCTCGCACCGAATCGGAAGTGGCTCTCCGATCACCGGCGTGCCCGCGGCAACTTGCAGGACGCAACTCATCTCCCCACTGAAGTCCCTCGCGCAGAAGGTCGAGGTGGAGAGGGGGCTGATATCTACTGCATTTCCGTCGCGGCCAATCCACTGCGTCCCCAGAACCACTTTTCAACCGGCTCTCCACGCAGAACGGGTGGCGCGATCCAGAGGGCCGCAACTGGACTTCCAATCCCTCGCCTCATTGGCTTTAGCCTGGCCCCTGTGCTGGATGCATTCCTGGACGGGAATCGGGGCGCGCGCGGGGCTGACCTGGGCGTTCCAAAGCACTCGACGCCACTGGAGACCAGGACCAACCGCGCGTGCGCCCCATTGTCCATGCAATGCGTCCGCGGCCGTAGCACTGGCGCCCCCGGGAGTCGGAGGCGCTCTCCTAGCTTGGGCCCTTCGCGAAGCGTTGGGCCCCGCATCCGAGACGCCCGGGACTTCCGAACCGCGCGACGAAGCAAAAGCAACGCCCGTGCCAATGGCCTAGGAAGACCCCGTCTTGGTTTCCGATTGGGGACCCGTGTCCTAAGCCGGCCAATCTGTTCTCAACGCAACTTCGCACCCCGCAGACGGGAGCGCAGTTTTGCGCGGGCGCGCGCGGCAGAACGCTTCGCGCCAGCAGCATCATCGCGGCAGAGGCGCGCGACTGAGGTCGCTGCAGCGGTAAGCTGAAGCCCGAGACCTCTAATAGCTGCGTGCGCCAGATGGACGACGCCAAACGCCATAAGTACCTGATCAGTAATGGCCGCATATATCTAGCTCCTCGCCGGAAAAAAAAAAAAAAAAAAAAAAAAAAAAAACACGACCAGCCCGAAAAGCTAGTTGCGCTGCAGTCGACCTGCTGTCGCTGGACACCTGCATACCTGAGTCGTCGGTGCGCAACGCGGAGGTTCCCAAAGGTCGTGGGCCATCAACAAACCCACATGCAAGGACTTGGATGCATGGGTCGTGAAAACAGCGTCCTGCTGGCAAGCCAAACTCAAAGTGCGCGACCCTGCCAGCGCGATGCTGCCGCTGTGGCTCGAAGTGCCAGGCAACCTCGCCGCGCGGAGGGCTCTCCACGCGCCGGGGAGACGCATGCGAACACCGCCACTGTGGCATTAGGTGGGCTTCCCTGTGGGGCCACGAAACGTGCGAGGGGTGTGGCGACATGGGCGGCGGGGACGACGATGGTGACGATGATGAGGAGGATGTGGATGAGGATGATGCTGCAGCTGATGATGCTGATGGATGATGGGTGGCGGTGATGATGGTGACGATGGTGTAGGGAGAGGGAGGGGATGATGATGATGATGATGATGATGATGGTGATGGTGATGGGAGGCGGCGGCGGCGGAGCGATATCGGGCCGAATGTCTCCCTGGCCACATAGCACCATTCAGCGAGAAAATTACACTATGTGCGACCTATCGTGCGCATGAGGATGCGATATACGGATGGCCACCCCCCTCTGGCAGGTGGGAGCCCCAAATTGTCCTTGCTCAACCACGGTTCACGGCGAGCGACGACTACGAATAAATTTCACGCAAAGACGGCCCCAGGGCGGGCCCGAGGCCAGAAACAAGACAGCCCAGAAATCAAAAACGGGTCGCGTAAGCGACCAAGCTCTTGAAGCTAGGAGTCGAGGACGGGCGAGGAGGGAGGCTCGAAGGACGAGGAAGAGGGGGGGAAGAGACAGCAGCGGCAGCTGCGCCACGGGCTGCCTCCTGGAGGTCAGGCCTAACGCAGCCCTCGACCAGGCTCTTGACGCTGGGAGTCGAGGACGGGCGAGGGGGAAGACTCGAAGGACAAGGAGGAGGGGGGGAAGAGACAGCAGCGGCAGCAGCGCCACGGGCTGCCTCCTGGAAGTCAGGCCTCACGGAGCCCCCGTACTCAGACGACCCAGCAGCCCTCCTCGCCGCGGTCGTCCCGCTCCGACGGGCCTGACTCTGCGAACTCAAACTTTCACTCTGCGGTGTCGGCAACTCCACTGAACCCCCCGGCGCCGTCGATCTCGACGGCGACACTGAAGCAGGCCTGGCTCTCTGCGATGTCGCCAGCTCAATCGGAGACGCCGCCCTCAACTGCACGCGTGAGGCTGCCGATAGGAGATATTGCACTGCCTCCCTTCTCACGATGCCCTGCTCATCCTGAGAACTACAGTGCCTCGACACTCCTTCGCCGTGTACGACGTCCATCTCATCCTGCACAGATGGCGACGCTGATGTGGCGACGACATTGCCCAGGCAGCTACCTCTGGGACTTGCGACCTGACGCTTTCGGCTGCCTTCAAAACTCGGCGACGTAGCCCAGGGAGCCAAGTCTGGGTCTTGCGAACTGACGCCGGGCGCTCTAAAGCCACTCGCAGTCACAGCTCCATCTCGTCCAACGCTAGCTGCAGCAACCTCTCGGCGTGTGACCTCGGGGCCATGCCTGGGCGCACTTCCCCTCCGAGCTGGTCCACGCACTCCCGGAAGACACGCTGCATCTGTGGATCCGCTAGGCTGAACACCATCTTCGCCAAGCCCTCTCGAAACGCACTGCTCACACGGAACCCCTTGACCAGGCAGGTCATGTCCGCGATCGAGCTGAGGCCGTCTGGCTTCACCTGCTGCTCCGCCCAGGCCTTCGCGTTCCTGGCTCCAACCTTCTCGCCTACGTCTGTGAGCTTGCGCGCCACCACCATGAAGACCTGCACGCATGCTGGCCCCATTGTCACCTCGGGCAGCTCGTTGTTCTTCGGGTCTTGCTGGTGAGCCTCGCGCATCCTCGCCGCCTCGACTGCGTACGCACGGCCAGCAGTGAAGCCCGCCTTGATCAGGTCCGCCTCCTCGTCCATCGTGATCGTCACGAACTCGGCCGCCAACAGGAGGCGGATGTTGAAGGAGTTGCCCAGGACCGCCCTCGTGAGTATCGGCATGAGCTTGGCGCACATCTGGACATCCATAGGTGGAAGTTTGTCTATGGCATCGGCTGGCAGCCCGTGCGCCTGGCCGACCTTCGCGCGCGCATCTGCGGGAGGCCCCCCACCGTGGGCTGGGGCCGCAGCCTGGAGCTGGCGAGGTCCGCGCCGTACAGGAGCCGCGCTGGCGGGCTCGGCCTGCCTGTCCTGCCGCCGACGACCTCCACGCTGCTGGGAATGCACTGCCGAGCCAGAGCGGCCCCTGCGAGAGCCCCGCCCGCCGCCGTGCGACCTCGAGCGTGGAGCTCCTGCCGCCGCCAGCTGCTCTGCCCCCAGGCGGTGCATCTGAACTCACGCAGGTGATCGGCACTCGAGGCGCGTGTCGACGCAGGTGAAGATTGAGAGCAGCTCGATCCTCAAACGGCTCCGTACAGTTACAGCAATACTCCGTGCCGGCCTGGGGATGCATCGGGCCATACACACATGCCAGCGTCAACTCGGACAGGGGACACGACAGACTCTCTGGCTCCAGGACACTGTGATGGAAAGGCGTGGTCGACGGAGGACAACGACCCTTAAGGACAGCTTGTACAGCGTGCTCCTGGGCAATACGTCTGGTCCTGGACCCCTGCCTGCAAAACACGCACTCGTTGGTCACAATCAAAGTGTGCACGACCGAACGACAAGAGTGCCCACCTCCTTTTGCAAATCGCTGATGAGCTAGCATAGCACGACGAGTAGTACATATCCTGCCACATGGGACCCCCTCTGAGTTCGGCAACGTACACTCCCAGACAGCTGCTGGTGGTGGGGGAACCTCAAGATCACCTTCAGGAGCCTCTGGAGGTACGGGAGGACCATGTAGACCCACAGGAGGAGGGATAGTGACGGTAAGCGTAGCTGCTCTGAGGATCCCAGGATCGAGCGCCAAGAACTGCTCCCGAAGATCCCCATCCATGAACAACGCCCGCACGCATAGCCTAAGAGCGGGGCCCGACGAGGGACCAGTGAAGAGCCAGGACTCCACGAGCTCGGCCTCCGACTTCTGAGCCAGGGCCAGGACGTCGGACGCGAAGCGCTTGGCATATGGGTTCGACTGATGCTGCAACCATCCCTGCTCGCACAATGTCGGATGAGACTCGATCGGCAGCTGCCCGAAGATCGCACCCAACTCCTGTGGGTGCCGCTCGGGATGTCTCACCCATCTCTGGTACTGCCTCAGCCTGCGCACCCTGAGCTCGACACCCGACGGGGCCACCCCCACTCGACGAAAGACAACGACATCGGTGATGGCCCTGTAGCGAACGACGGGGTTCCCCTGCGAGTCCAAAACCACGTTGCCCTCTTCATCCTTCTCCTCCACCTTCTGACACGCATCTCCTCCGAGCAACTTCCGAGCAAAACCGACGAGCACCCTGTCCAGACGAAGCTCCTGAGCCTCTGAAAGCACCAGCGTAGTAAGTCCTGAAAGCAGAGCACCCTGCACAACGGCCCCGAACACGATCCTCGTAAAGCGCCACACCCGATTTCTTGTCCAGAAGCGTCCCATGGAGTAGTACCCCCTCCGACACGCCTGAATCCTTCTCTGCAGTTCTCCCTGGACCCCCCCGTTCACCGCCGTCTGAATACCCAACGCAATATTGTCAAACTGCACCTGTCCAGGAAGCCGAATATATCCCCCAAACACAGCAGCGTTGTTGTTTTTCGACCCTGCACCGACGAATGATGGTGATATGCAATTTTTCCCAGCATTGTGAGAGTAGCCGTCTTTGGCCAACGAATCTCGAAGATGGACGTGTGCCTGCTCGAGCGTGTACTTGGCGTTCCTGGCCGTCGTCACAATGTGGGTCTTGTTAGTGTCGTCCGCATATATCCTGCACGATAAGTCCACGGGCCGCTGCAAGATGGGCACCCATGCCGTACATATGGCCTCACTCGGCCACAGGATCTGATCGGGATCCGCTGGAGGCGACGGCGGCACCAGGGCCTGAGAAGCCCACTCTGCATGCGTCTCTGGCCGATGAGGGGGAGCACCACGCCACGTCTGCTCGCGCAGACGGTCCGTCCACTCCTGTATGGGAGATCGGAACGTGCGAGCGAAGAACACCGCCGCGGGGCTATCGCCCATGAAAGCTCCACACAGGTTGTGCATCGTCTGCTCGCCAAAACGAAGACCCAACACCACAAGATGGTTTGGAAAAAAACCCTGGCGGCGAGGGGCCCCGGACCCGTCAAGAGGCGACTCTGGCATGAAAAACTGGCCCTGGGGGAAGGTCGGGTCGGGCGAAAAGGGGGGACAGCAAAGGGGGGGGTTAAGAATCAGCTCACGTAGCTGATTTTCCCGGCGCCTCCCGGCTCCAGAGGCGGCTATTTATCGAGGAATGGGCTCCTCGGTGGGGCCGAAACCAGCTCCATGCAGCAGATTTCGTACCCCCCCCTTCCCAATCCCCCCCCTTCGTCCAGCCCGAGAAGGGTCGGGGCTTCCGGGGAGGCAGCACTGAGAAGATCCAGACGGCGCAGCTCCGGGTCCCGAGCACCGCGCCGACAAGCTGCTCGGGCCGTGCCCGGCCGGGCCGACGACGGGGCTCCACGAGAGCGGAGGGCGGAGAGGGAGCACTGACAGGAGCGCCCGGGCTCGGGCCACGACTCGGGGAGGGCGCACGGGCGCCCTCGGAAAGCTCTCGGCGAGTCCCAGCCAACGCAGGGGGCATCGGGCAGAGGGCAGCGGACATGCCTCGGAGACAGACGTTCGAAGGTGCGCTTGGCCAGTCCCCGTGGCACGGCCTCAGGGTCGCCAGCGCCACCTGGACCATCTGGAGGACGATCTGCTTCTGCAAAGCAGCGCATTCTTTCGTGAACGCCCCACCACTCCTCCTCTCTCCCCAGCCCTGCCTCGTCTCTCCAAGTCTCCCTGACCCCCCATCGGGGCCCGGGGGGGGGTCCTCGTTGACCAGTGCCACACTAGCAGCAGCAGAAGCAAGAGTGGTGGTAGTAGTTGTAACAGGAACTAGCTGATCGGTTGTTTGGTAGCATGTGTTGTTTTGCGTTGCGGTGTTTTACTTGCGGTCCGCACACACACACACATTCACCACCATCACCCGCAGTACCACCATCATCACCATCATCACCACCATCATCACCACCACCCCACACGTGAACATATTGAGGGGATCTCATGCGGGAGGCTCGTCTGTGAGTGAGCTGTGACGAGGTCTCACGCGGGATCCCTCCCTATGGGGTTCGCATTTCATGTTGGTAACCCGAACGGGCCATCCGAACCTTGTAACTGTCGTCACTGTGGGCCCCCTGCAACTTGAATATGGAGGACGTCTCAAACAAAAAATTCGTCTGTGCGTGAAGTGTGAAGACGTGGGTGAACCGCGGGGAAGCTTCAGGCGGGACCCCTCCCTATGGGGCCTGCACTTCACGTTCGGATCCGAACGTGTCATCCAAACCTTGTCGCTGTCGTCGCGCTGGGGCCCCTTACGACTGAATCTAGATAAACTCTCAAGCGGGAGCCTCGTTTGTGAATGAATTGTGATGGAATCTCCAGCGTGAATCCGTCTCTATGGGGCCCGCACCTCATGTTCGATTCCGAACGGGTCAAACCTTGTAGCAGTCGTCACTTTCTGGCCCATGAGGCTTGAATATGGAGGAAGTCTGAAGGGGGGGCCTCGTTGGTGAGTGGCTCGTGAGGAAGTCGCACGCGTGAGCTTCTTCTCTATCGGGCCCGCACCTCACGTTCGATCCCGAAATAGTCATCTAAACCATGTGACAGTCGTCACGTTTGGGCCCATGAGGGTTGAATGCGGAGGAAGTTTCCAGCAAGAACCTCGTTTGTGAGTGAATTGTGAAGCTGTCTCAGGCGGGAACCTTATGTGTATGGGGCCCGCACCCCACGTTCGAAGCCGAGCGGGCCATCCAAAGTTTGTAACTCTCGTCACTGTGTGGCCCATGACGAGTAAATTGTGAGGAAATCTCGGGCGGGAGTGTCTTCTCTGTGGGGCTCGCACCTCATGTTTGACTCCGACCGGGTCATCCAAACCTTGTAACCCTCGTCACTTTTGGGCCCCTAATGTTTGAATCTCGAGGAGGACTCCAGCGGGGGCCTCGTCAATGACTTGTAAGGAAATTTCAAGCGGGAGCCCCCTCCCGCCCACACTTCATGCTTGAATCCGAGCGGGCCGCCAAAAACTTGTAACTGTCGTAGTGTTTGGGCCCCTCAAGCTTACACCTTAAGGCGGGAGCGGGGCCCGCAGCTCCAAGTTCGGATCCGAGCGCGTCTCCAGGTTCTCGGAGAAAAAAACCAGAAATGAGGACGCTGGTCGCACGGGCATGTCGGACGATCATTGGTGCCTGCACCTCCACGTCATGTTCTCCAACGCCACGCGCATGCGGAACATGCTGATCCTGCGGCTGCCCGCGCGAGAGTTCCTGGAACGCGGGCCGCCGGCGTCCCTGTGGAAGGCGCTCGAGGAGTTCGACAAGAGAGCGGTGGACTCCAGAGCTGAAGCGGAGCAGCTCGCGGCAGAGCTGGACTTCGTGCTGCCTCCCGCCTGGGCTCGTCCGCGACTAGCTCGGTGCCTGCGGGGTTGTCCCAACGGCCGTTTCCCCGAGAACATCGCGATTTTGCCATCGGAGAACGCGCCCCTGCCATGCGCGGCGGCGAGGGCGCCGAGGAAAATCGGCATGCGCGCCCGTGCCAGGAGGAAGGAGAGGTGCATGAGGAGAACAGGCGGGATGGAGAAGGGAGGGAGAAGGAGAAGGAGGAGGAGGAGGAAGAGGATGAGGAGGAGGAATGACGAGGAGGAGGGTAAGTATGAAGAGGGGAGGGACGAGGAGGAGGAGGAGGAGGAGGAGGAGGAGGGGGAGGAGGGGGAGGAGGAGGAGCAGGAGGAGGATGAGGAAGATGAGGAGGATGAGGAGGAAGAGGAGGAGGAGGACGACGACGAGGGGGAGGAGGAGGAGGAGGAGGAGGAGGACGAGGATAAGAACTGAAAGGGTCTAGGACAAAAAGGGGGTGCTGACGATGATGGTGAGGAGGAGGAAGAGGACTGGCCTCCGCCAGTCGAAGAGGAAAAGGGCGAGGGGCAATCTAAATAGATTACCATGTGGGGTCCCATCGTCGGCGTAATTGTTTGTTTGCAAAAGAACGCTGTAGCAACGGAGTGTGAGCTCCGAATTCGGAGCGCCAGACTTGTTATCAAGGGTAAAACGGTTAGGAGTCAGGACACATCACTTTCAAAGACGATAACGTACGCAAGCCTTCTTGTAAAGAACTCGACGTTACGGATTCTACAACGAGGTACGTCAGAGTACTCAACGAACGATTCGTTGTTGAAGATTTTTTTGAAAAAAAAAGATTCCCTGGGACATGTTCTGCACGAACGAGTTATGAATACGGGTGTCTTTAAATGTGTTACACAATAGGGACTCTTCACACAAGATCCCTTGAATATGGTCATTCATACGGATTCCCCATTGCAGAAATCCTCCGTAAAGATGTCTAAACAACGGTGCTGTAGGAAGTATCCTGCAATGAGAGTTCGTTAACGAAGATCCTTTTCCGCAGGGGCTCTGTACCCATGGTCCTTTTGCCACTGTAAGGTTCTGCGACCGTCCGGTAGCCCAGCTCGTGGATACAAAAATTTGGGCGAGGTGCGTTCGCTTACGAACTACTATTCGTTTACTCCGTGACGGAGGAGTGGCTCGCTCCAGCTGCGGGGAGCGCTTTGGGGCGCTTGGGGGCGCCTGGGAGCGCTTGGGAGCGCCTGGGAGCGTGCCGAGACCGCTTGGGAGCGTGCCAGGAGCGTGCCGGGAGCGCCTGGGACCGCTTGGGAGCGCCTGGGAGCGCCTGGGACCGCTTGGGAGCGCCTGGGGACCGCTTGGGAGCGCCTGGGAGCACCTGGGAGCGTGCCAGGGGCGCCTGGGAGCGCCCGGGAGCGTGCCGGGAGCGCTTGGGAGCGCCTGGGAGCGCCTGGTGCGACGGGCGTGGAGACCGCCCGGCCGACCGACCGACCGACCGACTGGACAACGACCGACCAAACGAACGACCGACCGACCCCGCAGGCAGAGCGACGGAGCGCCGGACGACGACCGCCCGACCGCAAGATCGAGCGATCGACGACGACCGACCGACCGACTGGCCGACCGAGCGACCGACGACGACGAGATCCACCGACGGCGACGACCGACCGACCAACGACGACGGCAACGACCTCCGACCGACCGGGCGACCAACGACGACCGAACGACGAAAACGACGACCGACGGCGACGACCGACGGACGACGGCGGCAGACCGGCCGACCAGCAACGACGAACGACGACGACGAGTCGGATGCAGCCGTAAATCTCTGAAAAGGCCGACCACGACCAGCTGATGCCAAATTCTAGAACGCGCGGGCCGGGTAGAATTCTAGAAGGGAACGCTTCGAGGACGCAGCCCCCCTCCCCCAGCCCCCCCCCCTGGAAGGGAAGGCGGTTGCATGCGAATGTACCACCTCGGGCTCCGAATCCTGCAAAAACCATTGGCTTGGAGACCATCCGTTTGGGCCGAATGAACCCTAATGAACCCGAATGAACACCGCATGAACCCCCGAATGTACCAGAATGTACCCCCGACTGAACCCTCCCAAGCGCCCCAGACAGACCCCGAGATAACCCCCCAGACGTCGTCGTCGTTGTTAGTCGACCGTCGTCGTGGTTCGTCGTTGTCGTCAATCATCGTTCGATGTTCGTCGTCCAGAGTCGGTTCGACGGTCGTCGAAGTCCTCGTCCTCGTCGTCGCCTGTCGTCTTCTGTCGCCTGCCCAGTATGGTATGCTCATGAAACTTTTGCTACCAACAGTGTTCACCTGACTGGCCGGTCAGGTCAGTCACTACTTTGCGAGGGGGGAATTTGACGAAGTGCGTTCGCACACCATGGTGGCGGCGTGGCTTGCTCTAGCTGCCCACTCATGCGGCAGCCGACAAATCCGCCCGACTGACCGAACGACCGGACAAAGACCGACGGCGACGACCGACGAATGACAACGACGGCGACGACGACGACCCACCGACCGACCGAACGAATGACCGAGCGACCCGGCGGCCGAGCGACCAAGCAACCGACGACGACCGACAGACCGACCGAGCGATCGACGACGACGACGACCGACCGACCGACTGGCCGACCGAGCGGCCGACGACGGCGACGTCGACCGAAGGCGACGACCGACAGACAACGATGACGGCAACGACCACCGACCGACCGACCGACTGACTAACGACGACCGAACGACGAGGACGACGACCGACGGACTACGACAGACCGACCGACCAATAGCGAGAACACAAACGACGAGATATATGCCGCCGTAGAGTTCCGAAAAGGCCAAATCACAAAGGCGGAGGCAAAATTCTAGAAGGCGCGGACCGGGTCAAATTCTAAAAGAAGGCGCTTCGAGGACGTGGCCCCCCCTCTCCATTTCCCCCCCCCGAGACGGGGACTCTGCGTTTCAAGGATATATATATATATATATACATACATATATATATATATATATATATATGTATATATACATATAATGTGTGTATGTGTGCATGTATGTACAGGAAGGAGCGGTTGCAGGTAAGTGTGCCACGTCGGGCTCCGAATCCTGCGAAATTGATGGCTTTGGGACCACCCGCTGGGGCCGAATGAACCCCTTACTTGGGCCAAATTCGCCCGAATGAACCCGAATGAGCCACGAATGAACCGCCGAAGGTACCAGAATGGACCCCGACCCAACCCTCAAGACGTCGTTGTCGTTGTTAGTCGGCCGTGGTTCATCGTTGACGTTAATCGTCTTCCGGCGGTCGTTGTCCAGAGTCGGTCCGACGGTCGTCGTCGACGTCCTCGTCGTCGTCCGTCGTCTCTGGTCGCTTGTTGCTACGGATGCAGCGAGGTTGAGAGTATGACGTTGGACCCAACATCTGCCCGTTATGGTATGCTCAAAAAGACTTCACTACTAACAAGAGTCACCTGACTGTAAGGGTTCCGTATGAACGATTGGTTCTCTGTTACGCACACTACAAAGAGGCTTCTTCATCAAAGAACTCCTTCGGAAGAGTTCTGCACTAAGGATTAAGGAGGGGTTGTGATGCTTATCTCGGGTCGGGCGAATGGGGGGGGGATAGCAAAGGGGGGGTTTAGAATCAGCTCACGTAGCTGATTTTCCCGGCGCCTCCCGGCGCCATAGTAGGCTACGTATCGAGGAATGGGCCTCTCGGTGAGGCCGAAACCAGCTGCATGCAGCAAATTTCGTAACCCCCCCTTTCCAAATCCCCCCCTGTCGTCCGGCCCGATTATCGTGGTGCTGCATGAGCAACCCTCGTCACCGCCCTCATCACAACAAACTTAGATTTATTGCGCACGCGGAAAACACAGACCACGGGAAAACCGATGACCTAGGAGTGGCAGTAGCTGTCGTAGTAGCACTGTGAAAAGTAGATCTAGTATAAGGTTTAGTTGTCATAGTCGTAGTCGGCGTGTTAATACCATGCGTGCGATCTACACCTCTGACATGCATCGTTCTAGTGATAAGATACATTCCAACTGAAAGAACGCACATGGTTTGCTACAACGATGTCGCGCTTCATCTTATAAGCATGCAACCGTGAAGGTGAAGCGATAGCGCAAACGGGCTCCTGAACCCTCGTCAGCTCAATATCTCCCGCCGCGGTGCCATTCCTCTGGCGCCAACCCGAGAAGAACGTGAAGATGATCTGGTGCGGCACAGCGAAATAGTAGCAACAAATAAATGAGCAAGTCTTAGCGGAAACGAAACAACACAACCGGCAGGAGGGAGAGGAAGCAGACAAGGATGAGGACGAACACATTGGAGAATATGACCATCCGTACCAAGGAAGGGCAGCGACAGCAGGAGAAAATTGAGGCAGGAACAGGTGCTCTTGCCGAGCCGTGTGAGCTCGACTTCGGCTGGCACTTTACACTAGCCTCAAGGGGGCTCTTGTTATCCAGCCCAGCGATTTCGGTGCGCACACACACACACACACACACACGTCCCGACACCCCCGTGCCGCCCAGTCTGCCTCGGGCAGCAAGATCACGAGGAGGCAGCCGCGCACAGGCCGCCTGTGCAGCCCTCGCCGTGCGCTGGCGCACGGCCTGTGAAGGGCCCCAAGGAACCGCAGAGAGACAAACACTTTTTTGGATTCGCGGGTCGAGAGCGCACCTCTTCCGGTCGAGACTCAGCGGGCCGCGCACAGCTTCAATTAACAAAGGGGGGGGGACAGAAGGAGAGGCCTCACGTCGAGGCCAGGAGGAGGCAAAGCCTCGGGATCAGGCGGTGCCGAAGACGATGTGCTTGCAAAGGAACGCCTTGGACAGGAACCCGGTGGCGAAGTACTGGGCAAATAGACAAACACACATCTCAGGATTCCCCACATCTTCCATGTCCTGGACGTTCGTCTTCCCACGTGTCCTCACTTGCTATACTCTCCAGTTGTTCACGGGCGTCCTCGATTCCTGCTGTCTGTGAACGTTGTCCACTCCTGGGAATCGACTGCTCTGCGCTGCGCCTGGTGCCCTGCGACGCAACAGCACCGGCCTAAGACGCCAGCGAGCGACCGCGAGTGGCCGTCGCCACCTCCGCTTCCCGCGGAGGCGAGGATCGGGTAGGGCGAAAGGGGGGGATAGCAAAGGGGGGGTTTGAGAATCAACTGATTTTCCCGGCGCCTCCCGGCGCCGGAGGCGGCTACGCATCGCGGAATGGGCCCCTGGGTGGGGCCGAAACCAGCTGCATGCCGCAAATTTCTTACCAGCCTAGAACATATCCCTACCCCTATGCTGGGCACCTCCTCATCACGATGCCAGTCTTAGGGATTCCCGTATGTTTTGAGGGCGAATCCCTGAGATGGTCATCGCCTCTTGGCGTGTCAGTCTTAGGGATAAGGAGACGTTCGAGGCTGGTAAAAGTTCGTAGCCCCCCTTTCCCCAATCCCCCCCTCTCGTCCGGCCCGAGGATACGCTTTGTGGCCAAACATGTGGGCAAAGTTTGGCCAAGCTGTTGGACCATATGTTCCCCCAGCCGTTGTGGGAACCCTTCGGGGAACACGTGGGGGAAGGAAGAGGAGGGTGAGGAAAAGGATGAAAAGAGGAGGAGGAGGAGGAGGAGGAGGAGGAGGAGGAGGAGGAGGAGGAGAGGAGGATCCGCGCAAACTGGCGCGGAACGCGCCGCACCGTGCTCCGCCGGGGCCCCCCCGGTCGCGCCTCGCTGCCTCCCCCGAGAGCTCGGGAGAGGAGCCCCGCGCCGCGGAGGTGGCATCCGATGGGAGGCCTGGCAATGAGCACCAGCACCAACACAGGGGATGGCCTCCACAGGGGGCAGAGGATCCTCGATTTCGGTGTTGGTGGCAACATTTCGGCCACCTTGGAAGCCAGAATATTACCACCATCGCCGAGATCTGGATCTTCGTCCCTCGGTGGAGGCGCACCGCCGATCTTGGTGTTGGTGTCAACCTCTAGGCCTGCGATCCGAGGCGTGCCGGCCCGGCCCCACCAGATGGGATCAGGGACGATGCGGGCTCTGGAGCTCTATAGCGGGCTCCAGAGAAAACCCTGCGCCCCCCCCCCAAAAAAAAATTGCGTGTCCTGGAGGACTCTTCGATTCCTTTTTTACCAGCGCAACACCCTCGAGCATTCCATCGGATGATCAGCGGTGGGACCCGTGAAAAAACCTACCGCAAACACGGCGCAACCTCATTACCACCCTGAGCAACGAGGTAGAGGGCCAGAGGAGCGGGTACGGTCGCGGAAGCCTCTGATTCCGCCGGCTTCCGCCAACGTTCCGCAATCGGAGGCGGCTTGGTGTTACGTCCGCCGCTCTCCGCCGGCCTTCCGCCGCCGTCAGGACGAGGGCGAGATGTGAGCCCGCTCGGTCCTCGAAGGCGACGCCTCTTCTGGAACGCCGCCTACGGTCAACCCGTATATCTAGGACGCACGACAAGGATGCATGGTTTGATTGAGTGATTGGGCAGCTGATGGCGGCAGCTGTGGCTGTGGCTGACGACTCCAGACCTGCAGCCTGGGCTGGAAACATTGAACGCTACGTACATCACTGGCACGTCCAAGAGGAAGGAGGGGAGGAGGAATGGGGGGAGGGGAGGGGGGGGGAGGACTCTGGTAACAGAGAGCTGGCGGCACGCGGAGGGGGGGGGACCAATGGTAACAGAAAGGATGCATGGGCCTTGGGGAAAAGCCATGCCGGCACTCTGCGAGCGGGGCGCGGCCAGCAAAAAAGAGGCCAAGGCTGAGCCGAAGAGGAAGGATGCAAGGGCAACCTTGGAAAGCTGCGGCACGCACCACCAACATGATGCTTCCAATCTCGAGCACTGAATATCACTGATCACTGCAGCAATGCTGCGCCGCAGCGCGAGACAAAGAAGCGGATGGATGGCGTTAGATCTCTCGACGCCACGCGCTGCTTCAAACAGAAAGGCCGGGTACTGGGAAAGGCTGGCCCGACTTCCTGGGTGGATTGAGCAGGGGAAAGTTGCTCATCCTTACTATGCGGGCAGACTGTATGAAGTGATCACGAAGTAAGAGGCCTTCGCGCTGATGCCTTGTGAACAGCGCCAAGGGTAGTCACTGGATCCCCCAACAGGTGAGTTTCTGCATCCGCCCCCATTCCTTCGGCACGATGGGGCGCGTCAGGTTGTTGTCCGAGAGATTGTTAGCACAACTCACGCGCACAAATGCAACGCGCAATCCATGCCGTTATATAGCTCTCAGCGCGGCCGCTCGTCACAGCGCCCCGGAGCGAGCCACATCATTCAGCATTGCCAAGGCAGCCGTGCCTCGGACAAACACTCATATTGCCAGCAACCGTGCCGAAGGCGTGGCTGCCTGGTCAATCGCGCTGACTGCCCGAACAGGGAAGTCCTGCAATTGCTCGGCGACTTTGAGATCATGATCGGTGAGGACACCGACATGAAAGATTGGATGACAAAACAATGCAAACAGAGATGGGGGCCCAAAGAGCCTGTTGAGTCCCTCACACGGGGGCAGAATCAATCAGTATCGCATCGATCGGGCTGCATCGGCAAGGAAACGGAATCGGATCGGATGGGCTGCGCCAGGATGTGGAGCAGCGCCATACGAACATCGGGCCGCATCGCATCGCCAGAAAACCAGAACCGAACCAGACCGAGCCCGGCGAGCTCGGCCTCTGTCCAGATCGATCGGACAGGAATGGGCCCTCAGGGTGGCCTCGACGTAAGAATTGTGGGGATCGTCTCGGACGATGAGGCCGGGACCAGCAGCAGGCAAGAGTGACTTTGGACAAGAGTGACACTTGGTGCGCCACTTCAGGGGGCGCGGTGGGGGGCCAAACCCAAGCGCACAGGCCGCTGCTCTCGCATCGCACTCAGAGATCGAGGAACCCCAGTGGGCCCGCACCTAAGGCAACTCTGGCGAAGGGCTACTCGTACGGCGGGTTCGTGTCGTGCCGACCCCAGCGTTGGTTTTTGACACCGCAGGGATCGTTCAACCTTGAACGATCGGCCGTCTCCGCAACGTCCAATCGTTCAACATCGATCGATTCTGGGTCGCCGGCGGCGTTCAACGTTGAACGCCCGCGCTGGGGTCGCCGCTGGTCGACACGACGCAAACCTACCGTACCCACACATGCTCCGACGTGCTGCTCCATCCGCGGCCCCAAGTCCCGACCCTTGACCCGGGGGTAGCTTTCCGCCCCGGAGCTATCGATGGTGGCCCCGAGGCCCGAGGACGGGACCCAGAGGCCAAGATCGACCAGGAACCCATGGGTTGCAAACATCAGACCTCCAGAGCTTTGTGGGCCCCAGAAACGGCAGGGCCGTTTTTTCACCGTTTCCAGAAAAATGTCCCTTGAAAATGGAAACGGCAAAAAAAGGCGACCGGAAACGGCAACAAAACGGCTCCAGGATTGGAACCGGAGCCGGAACCGGTCAAAAAACGGCGACGGAACCGGGACAAAAAACAAGGTCGGAACCAACAAACAAACGGCAAAACGGAACCGGAAACAAAAACGGCCCTGTCGTTTCCAGGGCCCACTAAGCTCCAGAGATCTAGGCTACGTTTGGCCGACGAAAGGTCACGCCGATGCAGGCCTCCTACGCGCACCTGCCGGCGGACGAACACACACACACACACACACACACACACACACACACCCGTACCCATGGCCTCGCGGGCCGGGCCCCTGCGCCGCGAAACCCCGCGGGGACGGGGCGTTCTCTCGCGGATGCCCGCGCGGAAGGCATCCTTTTCTTCGGTCGCGTCCGCGAGCGAAAGCGCAGGCGGAGACAGAAGCTGTCCGGGGCACGGAAACGAGCTACAGGGCGCGGAACGGGCCGGCCGGGCCAGCCCACAAGGCGGCAGCTGAGCCGCGTGGTGAGGGCTGACTGGCTGCGGGCACCCAGGGAAGCTCGGGCATCGTGCACCCCTGAGGAAAATGCCAGGGAATTCGATGTACGCCCTGCGGAAGGCATCCGCGCGACCGCGCACTTGCGGGATCGCGCCCGGAATCCAGACCACGAGGGCGCGGCGACGGATCTGCTCGTCGCTCGTGACCTTTGGCCCCCTGCCTGGGGCAGGGCACGCGCACGGGACCGCACAGGACGGCTCCCCTCCGCCGGCGGGGGCCGCCCAGGGATGGGGGGTCGCCGGCTCCCGCAGGAGGCGCCAGCTCCTCTGGGAAGTGGGCCCCCCCAGGACACTTTTG